TCGGCAAACTCCGTCGATAGCCAAATATTAAGAGTATAACGATTGAAATTTCCTTTGAGAGCCAATTTTTTTAAACTTATACATCTCTCTCATCGATGTTTCTGGCTATCTCCTTTCCTCTCTGTAAAAAATCAATAAAATTTTTACTTATCCTTACACCATTTATTCAAAACAGACTCGCCCAGGCCGTGGTATTTTGTGCAAGAGCCACACTCAAGGGGCCGAAGAGTCGGATGTGGCTCGTGAGCCGCAGTTTGCCGACCACCAATGTAGGGGGAGAAAGGGAGCCTTGGATAGGAGCGGGCTGCTATCTGGGGTTTAAAGGGTTGGCTACAGCCTGAGCTGAGGATGGTTTAACGTTTTCCCTGTCGGAAGGGCCTTCATTGGTGAAGAGTTCTGCGTTGCTGAGGCTCAGCTGTGTGAATGCGTCTTGAGAACAAACACCATTGTTTCTAGTGGGATGAGAAATATGTTGCCCGCATTTCTCCTTCAGGTTCAAGATGTGGGCTGTGGACTGAGAAAAGTCACGTGAAAACCATCATTTTCAGATGTGGAGTGTAAGGATCTTCGTGATGGAAACTTCTATAAATGGTGAGATTTTTAGCTCTTTCACCGAGATGTGTGGGTCTTTCCGGATTGTTACTGCTGGGCTAAGGGGAGTAAGTACCATGTTTCTCTGAAAATAAGACCTAGCGCATGGAAAGATAAGACATCCCGTGAAAATAAGACCTAGCGCATCTTTGGGAGCAAAAATTAATATACGACACTGTCTTATTTTCGGGGAAACAGGGTAGTAAGGAGCCCTGTGCTAGGCTCCTCGCCAAGCTGCCTCTCACACAGCATTTGTTACAGCTGTTGAGAGGATTCGATTAGACCCGTGGTTCTCAGCTGGGGGCAGGCGGTGTGGCTGGGATCTGGTGGGGGCTGCTCAGTGGTCTACAAAGCACAGGACAGCTCCCGCGCAAAAGAACTGTCCCCCCTGAAGGTCAGTAGAGCTAAGACTGTAACCCTGTGTTGGACCAATGTGAGTGATTTGAGCTCTAGCCTGGCCAGGTGCCAGATAGCCGCACAGAGCCTTATTCACTCATTTGTAAAACAGGGTCAGGTGTTTCTCAGGCCTGTCTGTGCGTCAGAATCACTTACGATGTTACACTGTACACATTCCTGGACACCCCTCCAGCCATGGATGCGTGGGCCCAAGAATCCCGTGTGGCGGTGTGGGAGCAGGCACGGAGGGATAGGTGATTGGGTCTACTTTTAGCTGGGATTTTTATTACAGCAAGATTATAGGACTGGCTATTTTTAACCAGCTCACAGGCAGATCCATAATCCTCTGTCTTAAAAAACAAAGCCACTTGCCTGCTCTGCACTGAGATGAGTGAAAAACGGCTTTTCATTAATTCTTGGCCTCAGGCACTGTTTGTGCTGCCGGAAGGAGTGATCTGCACTTGACTGTGACACGTGAAAGACTAGGCTATACACCACACACACACACACACACCCCTCCTCGTCTGTAAGACGGCTGGGCTGAGGGAGGCCCTGCCTTTCAAAGGGTAGGAACTGCCCTGGCCGGTCTGGCCCATTGGATAGAGCGTTGGCCCTCAGACCAAATGGTGTCGGGCTCGACTTCTAGTCAAGGGCACGTACCTTGGTTGTAGGCTCAATCTGCAGCCACTCAACCTGTCACTCCTCTCACATCGATGTTTCTCTCCCCGCCCCCCCCTTTTCCACCCTAAAAATCAATGGAAGAAGGTCCTCAGGGGAGGGTTATCAAAAAATAAAGGTTATGAACTGTCAGTGTGTCAGGTCTGGACACGGTCCGTCTAGCACTAGATAGGGTCAGTGTTTGCCCTTGAGGGAAAGTACCCTCTGACACAGAAGGTGTGGTTGGATGAGAGTGCTCACGAGGGGAATACAGCAGAGTTCGGTAAGAAAACTAGTTTGCATGTGCTGTGGCTGGCAGAGCGGTGGGAGCTGAGTCCATGATGATGTGTTATCCCTGTCTGAAGGCCAAAAAGGCCTTTCAGTGTGGAATGTGGTTGTCTGAGACTCAGTTTCCCAAGTTCCTTATAGATAATTTGTGCCTGGTTTGAAAGTGAGCAGCCAGAGAGGTACCTGCATATTCTTGAGCCGGTTTTCTTTGCAATTTCTCCCTGCCAGGCCAGTCCAGCTTGGTTTCGGACCGAAACAGACCCTCCAGGAGAAGCCTCTGAGCGGCAGTAAGTAGCACCGGGACCGCGCCCTGGGCCTGCCCGGGCTTGGGGCCAGTGAGGGGCTGAGACGGACTGACACAGGCTTGTCTTCTCTGTTAGATGCCGCAGGGTGAGGCACAGAACTGAACGCTGTGCCCGAAGCAAGTGAGACGGTTCCTCCCGCTTTGTTTTCTGTTTGTCTCACCTGCTTGTCCCTAAGCAGCCCCCAGCCTGTGATGGTTCGTTATCCCTGTCTGAACCTCTGACTGAGGGAGAACAGTCTGTTCTGAGGCTTGCGGTGGCTTGGCCCTGCACTCTTAAAGGTGCAGGATTTATAGGGGATCACATTGCATGGACCCAAGGGAAGCTGGGTACCCTGAAGACCAGTGGCCTGGCCCCTGGCTTAATGTCTCTGAGGGACAGGCTGCTGAGACACGACAGGGCTGGGCAGTGGCCAGCGCTGGCTTAGGCCCTCACTGTGAGATGAAAGAGGGATTGTCACATCTCTCAGGAAAGCGACGGGAAGTCAAGTGTCTGCAGCTGCGCAGGGGGTCCTGGGGCCGGCTGCCTCTGGCCTTGGCGCCGGGGCCGGCCCTGCTGTTTGGTTTCGGGTGCTTCCCCCAGAGTCTCTAAGATTGGCTCTGGCTGCCCCTGAAAGGCATGACTGGCATGTGGGCAAGAAGGTGCCAGTGGCTCTGGACATGCTTAGTGCCAGGCTTGAGAGGCACCACTTGAAAGTGGGGTGTGTGTGGCCTCTATTCGAGGCCACGTTTGTTCAGTCACCACGGAAGCTGTTTGGGGTGAGGCTTGGTGAGCCTGAAAACAGCCCCAACCAACTGAAGGGGCGTGTTACTAAGGGGTCTGGAGCAGGTGAATGCACCTGTCCCCAGAGCCTCGTGGCTGGTCTTGACTGGCTGCTCCCCAAACACTGCACGCGCGCACACACACACACACACACACACACACACACACACACACCTGAGAACAAGCTGCCTGTCTCCAGGGGGCCTCAGCGGCCGCATGGGACTGTATGATCGTACCCATCATGCCTTCACCACGCACGGGGGCGTCCTGGGTTCGAATGCGTGCCTCTGGTTGCCTTTTCCCTAACCTGGGTGATTCTTCAAAGCTAGCCTCAGGTTGAGTCACTGTTGGCTGTTGTGTCAAATGATTCTTTGGTTTTACAGGTGACCTCCCAGGTGTGCCGGCCGGATCCCCGCAGCCCCTGTTGCTAATAGTAACGCCTGTAAATGATCCCAAAGGAGAATCATTTCAGAGCTCTGTGGACTTCATCTTCAAAAATAGCCAAACAGCCCTAGCTGGTTTGGCGCGGTGGATAGAGCATTGGCTTGCAGACCAATGGGTCCCGGGTTGATTCCGGTCAAGGGTGCATGCCCCAGGTTGTGTGCTCGATCCCCAGTAAGGAGTGTGTGTGTGGGGGGCAGCCAATCAATGATTCTCATCATTGATGTTTCTATCTCTCCCTTCCTCTCTGAAATCAATAAAAAAGTATATTTTTTAAAATAGCCTAATAATTTGAGAGAAAATGAGTTTATCCCAGAAAATCGTGGGCAATTAGTGAAATTGGGGAATAACTGAGAACATTTGGAAACCGCAGTGTGGGATCCGTTTCCTTGTGAATGGGCGCAGCTGCAGTGAGCGCGAGCGGAAGGTGATTAACGTGTACTGAGTGTGCTCTTCTGTGGGAGGCAGGTGCTCCGCCTAGAAAAACGTTTATCACAGTGGATTCCTGTCAGTGTGTCTTGGGCTTAAATTTTGAAGCACAAATAAACATTTTCAAATGACTAGCATTGTGGATTTCAGATTGAGACCCAAGAACAATATATTGTAACTCGGAATTCCTTGGTAAATGAGTTTCACCGAATAACAATTGGGCTTAACAATACATAGGATGCAATCAGATGTGTTGGGGTGTTTGTAAGTTTCCCACTAAATTGATTTTATATCCTTTTATTGGGCTGCCAGAGGCCAGGTCCTGGCCCCTGGGGGAAGGGGTCCTTGCCTACCAGCCAGCCGTGTGAAGACCTCAGCACTGTGGGAGCTACTGGGTTGGGGATCCCAGGGCTAAGGGCTGGGTGTGCCAGCTAGGCTTCCAGTGGGCACCTAAAAGGCCTGAGTGAGACTGCCTGTCAGTTAGGTTCCCATTGTTGGCACATATTCAATGTGGAGTGAGGGGGCTTATTATGGGGTACCATCCTTTTGATGACCAGGTGGCACTATGTCTAACAGGAATCCCCTCAGAGGCAGGCACCCCCATCAAATACCAGAACCTTCCACGCCACACCCTGCATGGTACATGCTACTCCCCTCCACACACAGCGAAGGTGGCCATCCATGTTTATGCAATGATCTGGTGTCAGGTTACATTCTGCCCTCTGCGGCCCTCTCCCCATGGCTCTCGTGTGGCAGTCATGGCCGCAAAAAGGTGAAGGTGTGTCCTTGAGGTGAACTGGCTGGGAGTGTGCAGGTGCCGGTGATGGAGTGTGGCCGAGTCCTCCACTGACGTCTGGTGCTGCCCGGCTCCCGCTGGCTTTGGGTATGCCTGCCCTTGGTGCGGGTGACAGTCACATCCTGGGAGTGTTGTCTTCAGTTTTAAACGAATCCAGGGGAGCTGTCCGTCCTCCCTTGATCCGGGGGGCGTCTGTCTCGGACTCGGGGTTTTCTTGGATGACCCAAGGGCAAGATGGGGTGTTCACAGTGAACAGGCGGCAGTGATGTCACAAAGGCACCTCAGACACCTGAGGGGAGGAGTGGGTCTCGGGGAGCTGGCCCCCAGCTGGGCAAGGGTCACGCTCGGTGCTGGTACAGCTTCAGGATGCCCGCCTTGTGCAGGTCCCACCACAGCTCTGCCTCCAGGGACAGATCGTGGTTTGCATAGAATATCAGTGGCTGCTTAACTCGGTCGTAGTAGTGGTCGGAGAATTTCCAGTAGTTACTTGTGATGAATCCATAGGCACTAACCTGCAGAGACGCATCGAGCTGCTGTGTGCACACGTCAAGTGACAGGAATTCAGGAAAGCCCAGTCCCGCCCCCACCCCCATCCCACACCTGTGTGAGAAGATGCAGGTGAACATGGTTGCCGCTCACAAATGAGATTCCCGCTTCACAATGGACAAGGTGGAGGCCCAGAGTCAGGTGGCCTCAGTGTGGGTCACTGCCTGCCTTTGGGAGCCACTGTGGGTGGCCCCTGTGGTAGTCCCTCAGTGACCAGCGAGTGAGTGTGTGTGTGTGTGTGTGGTAACCCTGCTATCCCAGCCACTTCCGTTGAGAAGGCAGCTTTCAGAAGGGTAGATTGGTCATGTGTAGAGGGACTGCCCTGGGACGAGGGCAGGGGGCTGGCCTCTCCAGGACCCTGGGTGTTGGGTGCGATTCCCCCATGCCTTCTCCAGGCCCCTCCGCAGCTGGGGATCCTTCCCTCGCAGGACAGGCCCAGCAGGTGTGAAGTGAGAGGCTCTGGGATAAACCCGGTTCCATCCACACCTGCACTCTGTTCCCGAGGCAGGCCTCTTACCTGGTCACAGGTGTGTAACGCTGTCAGCAGCATGAGGGCCCCGGTACTAGGCATATATAAGTCTTTAAATTTTGAGATAATCCGCTTTGATTTCAAAAACCTGGAAGCAAATTGGCATTGAAACTCATTTAGGTCTCACATACCTGCTTGATAGTCACATCATCACAATGACCAACAAAAGGCCCCTCCCGTCAGTCTCTCCTGGGGGACAGTGAGCTCCTGTGAGTCACCTTCTTAGGCGACGGGTGCGGAAGAGGGTTGGGCTCGTTGGGAGCCACAGCAGGGTCCAGCCTGACTGCCACCTCCTGCCCTCCCCCCGTGCTGCGACTGCTGGGCTCCCGCCTGCCCAGGCCCACCGTCCCCTCACTGCTCCCGGGTCTCACCCGGCTGCTGCACTAGTGACACTTTCAAGGGCCAGTGGTTGAGCCGAGACCGGTTTGGCTCAATGGATAGAGCGTCGGCTTGGGGATTGAAGGGTCCCGGGTTCGATTCCAGTCAAGGGCATGTACCTTGGTTGCGGGCATATCCCCAGTAGGGGGTGTGCAAGAGGCAGCTGATCGATGACACTCTCTCATTGATGTTTCTAACTATCTCTCTCCCTTCCTCTCTGTAAAAAATCAATAAAATATATTAAAAAAAAAAAAAGGGCCAGTGGTTGAGCATCGACCTATGAACCAGGAGGTCACAGTTTGATTCCCGGTCAGGGCACAGGCCCAGTGGGGAGTGTGCAGGAGGCAGCCGATCAATGATCCTCTAATCATTGATGTTTTCCTCCCTCCCTCCCTCTCTGAAGTCAGAATACATTTAAAAGTAAATGAAGGGCCAGGTCGCTCTTGGCTGCGGGGCGCCCTGTGCATTACAGATGGTCAGCAGCAGCCCTGGCCTCTCGTGCTAATGGTGCTTGCACTCCTGGTGACCCTGCCCCGCCCCGGAGAAGCACAGGCAGGGTCTGGGGAGGAGATCAGCTCTTGCTCCCTGGCTCCTCCCTGTGCTGTCTCAGCCTGAACACGGTGGCAGCTCAGCTCCCATTACTGGCCCGCACCCAGCCTGCGCCTGTGTGAACAGCCTGGCGCCCCATCGGCGCTGCCCCATCCACCTATGAACCAGGAGGTCACCGTTTGATTCCCGATCAGGGCACACACCCGGGTTGCAGGCTTGATCCCCAGAGTGGGGCGTGCAGGAGGCAGCTGATCAATGATTCTCTTATTGATGCTTCTATACCTCTCCCTTCCTCTCTGAAATCAGTAACTATTTTTAAAAAATAAACAGCCCTGGCAAATAGGCCTCGAGTTCTCCCCGGTTTCCTGTTCCCCTGATTGACCCACCACCTCCACCGAGGCACTGAAGTAGAGACCAGACCAATGGGAGGCCTCGGTGCCGGCCTGGCAGGTGGCTCTGGCTCGGTTACAGCAGGTGGGGCTGCGGGCAGGCCTGAGGGCAGGCCTGGGGGGGCGCTGTCTCCCACCACCTACCTCTCTGTCAGGTAGCTGATGAAGGCTGGGTGGAGCAGCTTGAATTTGCTGGCAGGGGCTTCTGGTCCGAAATAGGTGCGAGGCCTATTTGGAGATGAAGCGGACGGAGCGGTTGAGGCTCTCGAACTGCACAGAGCGGCGGTGGGGCAGGGTGCGGTAGTAGAAGCGTGGCTGGGAGTAGAAGCGGGAGAAGGGCGTGTAGAAGGTGGCGGGCAGCACCGAGGGCACCACCGGTGGCTTGGCGCCCACCAGCACGTCGGTGGGCAGCCTGTAGGTGAGCGAGCTCGGGGGCGTGAACAGGTTGGGGGGCGTCCGGAAGTTGCAGGTGGAGTTGGGGTAGTGGGGCGGGGGCGGGAGGAGAGGGAAGTAGAGGGAGTCCGGGGGTGGGGGGCGCTGGGGGGGTGCGGGCCGCCGCTCGTACTTGGGGGGCGGGCACAGGGGCAGTGAGGATGTGGGGGGCTGGAAGAAGGGGGGCTCCTTCAGGAAGCGGGGCACATAGGGGGTGATCTGGGCCGGGATGCCTGAAATGGAAAGGGACCCGATGTAGGATCCTGAGCCGATGGGGCTGTAGGAGGGGGACCTGGAGGAGTGGGCCGGGGGGGTCTGGGAGTGGTTTCGGGAGGCGGGCTTCACAGCAGACTGGGAGGGAGACTTGGAGGGGGGTGGGGTGGCGCTCTGGGAAGACGTGCGAGACACGTGTTGAGAATGAGGGCTGGGGTTCAGGGACGGGGTGCGGGAGGTGGGCTGGGAAGCCGTAGGGGTGGAAGGGTGAGAGGGGCCGCGGGAGGAGGGCCGGGTGGGGGATGGGGAAGGGGCTGAGCCACCCGAGCTGGAGTTGGGCTGCTGATTGGCTGGGCTGCTGTTGTAGTTGGTCCGGGACTGGGAGGGGGACTGGGTAGGGGACGGATTAGGGGTTTGGGAGGGGGAACTCATTGGTGTTGGGAAGACTTGTGAGCACCCAAGGGCTCTGAGCCAGCACCCCCAGAGCCTGGCTCCCCTGCCCATGTCACAAAGCCCCCCCTCATGACCCCTCAGCATTATGGGTGATTGTTGGGTAACCACAAGGGGGGTGGGGCAGGGGGGCCCGCCAGGAGGGGGGAACCGCCCCTCCCGGACTGGGGGGCTCTGAGATGGGCGGGGTCCCTGTGTGGCCAGGGGTGGGGTGACTTCCCAGCACCTGATTCAGAGGAAGGGCCAGCAGCACCAGGCGAGGGCCGGGCTGAGGCCAGGACATGCTCAGGAGAGCTGGACCAGGCCTGTGCCCAGGACGCGGGCACCAGACAGAGTGCCCTTTGTTCCCGCTCCACAGGGCCAGCCTTGGGAGGGTGCCCGCTGGGAGGATGGTGTGGAGGCTGGCCCTCTGCTCTCCGGGTTGGCTGGCGGCAGGCTGGTTTGGGGACAGCAGCCTGGAGCTCAGAAGCCAGGTCTGCCTCCTTCCTTCAGAAAAGCGGCCCCTCGAGCCTGCAGCCAGCGGACCGGGAGATGCGGGGACCGGGAGGCGCGGGACGTGAGGCTTACCTGGCCCTCCTGGGGGGAAGGAACAGCACCCCTGGCCGCCTCACCACGCCCTGCCCTGCGTGGCTGCTCACCTGTCACCTTTATCGTGGCCACTGGGGACAGGCACGCCCAGGACGGCCGATCTCAGCATCACGTAGTCACGGAGGCCTGAGGGGATGAAGATGTAGCGCAGGTCCTGTGGGGACAGCAAGGGCGGACGGTGGGAACAGGCCACGTCTGGCCCTGCCCGCAGGGAGGCCCTGCCCCCCCAGGACAGCCCCCTCCTCAGTAGCTCCATCCCGCAGCCAGGGGCCCGGCCCGGGAACCCTGGGCTCCCCGGGAGGGGGCTCCGTGGCCCCCAGGCCTCACCGGCCCTTGGGGCACGGAGGTGAAGCCCGCTGCGCTGTAGGCGACGAGTGAGTTCTTCATGGTGTTCACAGTGAAGCCGTAGAAGGAGGTTTTGGTGCCCACGTCCAGCTCGAAGCCTTTGATCACAGCACCATTGAGTCTGGTCCAAACAGAGCCATTGACCGGGCGGTCACGCACCGGGTGCGGGACTCCCTCCCCCGGCCCGGCCACCCGGCCCCGCCTCAGGCCGCCCCCCGGCCACGGACCGGCTCCCATCCTCCACGGACGCCCCTGCAGCGGGCACATCTGTCCGGGCGGCTCCTTCTCTCAGGGGCCAGGGCATGTCTGTCTGCACATGCCCGTGCCCATGCCTGTAACAACTGCAGAGCCACCTGGGGCTGCTGCGTGGCCCACACCATGGAGGGTGCTCCCTCAGGGGACAGCTCCTCCCCTCCCACCTGCCCCTCTCCCCCCCTCCCTGTCCCTTTCCCTCCTCCCTGCCCCCCTCCCCACCCGCCTACCCCTCCTCCCCTCCCCCCTGTTCCTTTCCCTCCTCGCTGCCCCCCTCCCCTCCCCCTGCCCCCCTCCCCTCCTCCCTGTCCCTTTCCCTCCTCCCTGCCCCCCTCCCCACCCACCTGCCCCTCCTCCCCTCCCCCCTGTTCCTTTCCCTCCTCCCTGCCCCCCTCCCCTCCCCCTGCCCCCCTCCCCTCCCCTTGTCCCCCTCCCCGCCCCCCTGTCCCTTCCCCTCCTCGCTGCCCCCCTCCCCTCCCCCATGTCCCTCCCCCTCCCCCCTCCCCTCCTCGCTGCCCCCCTCCCTTCCTGCCTGCCCCCCTCCCCTCCCCCCTGTCCCTTCCCCTCCTCCTTGCCCCTTCCCCTCCCCCCTGCCCCCTCCCCTCCCCCATGTCCCTTCCCCTCCTCCCTGTCACCCTCCCCTCCTCCCTGCCCCCTCCCTTCCTGCCTGCCCCCCTCCCCTCCCCCCTGTCCCTTCCCCTCCTCCCTGCCCCTTCCCCTCCCCCTGCCCCCTCCCCTCCCCCATGTCCCTTCCCCTCCTCCCTGTCACCCTCCCCTCCCCCCTGCCCCTTCCCCTCCCCCCTGCCCCTTCCCCTCCCCCCTGCCCCCTCCCCTCCCCCATGTCCCTTCTCCTCCTCCCTGTCACCCTCCCCTCCTCCCTGCCCCCCTCCCCTCCCCCATGTCCCTTCCCCTCCTCCCTGTCACCCTTCCTGCCTGCCCCCCTCCCCCCTGCCCCCCTCCCCTCCCCCCTGCCCCCCTCCCCCCTCCCCTCCCCCTGCCCCGCTCTGTGCACCTGAACACGTAGTCGTGGGCATCGATGTGGAGCCCCTGGCGGGAGCCGTTGAGGATGCCCCCGTTGCCCACCACGGCGCACCGGACGCAGTCCCCACGCGGCTCCCTGGAGCCCAGCAGCTGGGCGCTCTCGGAGCTGTTCAGGAGGCTCAGGGTGGAGGCGATGTCTGCGGGTCGGGAGGGGACCTCATGCAGAGGCCGGCGTGGGGACAACAGCCCCTCCCAGGAGGCACAGAGGGTGGGGGGTGACATGTCCGAGGGGCCGGAGGGGGACAGGTATTCCAGGAGGGATAACCTGGGCATGGGGTGGGGCAGAGCTAGCGGGGTGCGGGGAGGGGGAGGGTCTGACAGCAGCTCCGTCGGCAGCTGCTTGGGCCCCATGCCCTGTCTCAGCCAGCTTTCTGCCAGGGAGGCCCCAGGACGGGGAGAGCATTGGGTGGGCGGGGAGCCAAGCCCCTCTCGCCCCCTCTCGCCAACCTCCTGGTGCTTGTGGGCAGGAAGGTGAGCGGAGTCCCGTAGCCTGGGGTGGAGCTCAGGCCTCCTGGGGGGAAAGGGGCACCGGGCGGGGCCACATCCCAGTGCTGGGCGGGCAGGAAGGCCTGGGCCTCAGGGCCAAAGCCAGCTGGGGCCAGGGCTGGTTACCTTGGCGGGGGAGCCCCTGCCAGCCGTAGGGGGCTCTGCGCTGGCTCAGGCTGTCCCAGAGCTCCTGGGAGAAGAGGCCCCCGGCCAGCAGCACCGGCTGCGAGAAGTTGAACAGAGCCCGGAAGTGGGGGTGCTGCTGGACGGCCTGAGCGAGCGAGTGTCTGCAGGGCCTGCTCTGTGGGGGAGGAGAGAGAGGGCTGAACTCGGGGGCTAGGAACTTTCCAGGAGCTGAAGGCCCCACGGGGGTGGGAGGGAAGAGGTGGCCTCCCGTCTCCAGACTTGGGGATCAGAGAGCTTTCTGGGTTTCCCCCTGCCCAGCCCCCTGGACGCCACATCTCTGCGGCCTGCTGGCTCTGCCTCCGGCTCCTCACTGGGGGTAAATTTGGGGGCGTTTTCCCACCTGAGGGTGAGACCTGCCCGCCTTTGGAGGTGAGCTGGCCAGTTCTCTGGGATCTCCGTCCTGGATGGAAGCCTGTGATTTATCCTGTGGGCTCTGGTATTTCCGCTGCGGGGCTGGGAGACAGGGCTGCGGGAGACGCAGGCGCGTTTGTTCCAGCCGCCGCTCACGCTGCGTGAACGGTGTCTACCCGGAGTCCTGTCTGCCCAGACCCTCGGAACGCGGCCCCGTTGGAAGTGGGGCCTGTGCAGATGGAGGTTGAGGTGAGGTCACACTGCATCCATGTGGGCCCCAAGCTCAGTGCCCCTCGAGGGAGCCAGCAGAGTGAGCGACGCTGCTACAGGCCGAGGAGGCCTGGAGCCCCAGAAGGTGCAGGAGGCCAGGACGCCTGGGTGTCAGCCTTCTGGCCTCCGGGACTGCGAGGAACAGTCTCTCGTTTTAAGCCACCGCGTTTGATCGCGTGTTCCAGCAGCCCCAGGAAACTGAGCATAGTAACCTCCATCTTCCGTAAAAACTGCTGCTTGAAATGTTAACCCTGCTGTTCCGGCTCCTGTAAACGCTTGCTTGCTTAAATAATAGGGAAAATGAGACCACTCCCACTCCAGAGAGGCCAGAAACGGGGTGGCAGACAGAGTTGTCAGTGCTGGCGCCAGGCCAGGCCTTGAGAAACGGTCTCAGGGCCTTGTCCCAGCACACAGGACTTGTTCCAAATTTGGAGGACAAAGAACTGAAAAAGGTATATTTAGAAAGGATTTCCTCTATTTGGGGCCCCAGAATTTGAGAAGCAAATATTTCCTCTGGGCCCGCTGGCACTAGCGAAATGAAAAAGACTCCAAATAAACGTGGCTTATTGATGAAGGCGTCTTCTGATTCACAACCGAACAAAACCTCTCAGTGCCTGGCGCACAGGGACCTGGGGGGAGGAGGGCAGATACCGAACAGGCCCCGGCCCCATCCGCCTGCAGCCCCCAGGGCAGAGTCCCACCCCGCTGCCTGGCGGGCTTCTTCCCCGAAGGGCCTCTTGGTTAGGGTGCCGGTTTGATCAGGGCCCCGCAGGGAAGAGCCGCATGTGGTCGTTCCTGCTGTAATGTGACACACACGCTCCTCAGTAACCTTGAAGCTGTGCAGTCAGGCGCCAGGGCTTGTGGGAAACGGGCTAGGGGCCCAGCACTCGCCCACAGCCGATCAGCTGGGGACGTGAACGCTGCTCAGTGTGGCGTTTGGCCTCGGAGAGCCACCGTGGCTGGGCATCGCGGGGCGGCTCCTGAGCTCCATGGAACGGCAGGGGAGGGTTTACCACCGCCGGGGCAGGTGGAGTGTGCCTGCACGCATTTGTGTGTGCCTCCACGTCCCTTCCTGGGGGTGGCGTCCCCGGTGCTCTCCCCGGCACTGGCTCGGAGCACACACAGCCTGTGCACAGCACATGGTGCAGTGTCCTCGCTGCTCCGTCCTCCGGGCCAGTTCAGGGCTCCCGGCTTCGCCTCGGGAGGCTGTGCGGCCCTCGGGCCGCTTTCCCCCGGGACCCATAGGCGGTCTCCTCCTCCCCTGAGGCCGCCAGGGAGCTCAGGGCCAGTCCCCAGCCTGTCTCACCTGGTGGCACTTCTGCCGTGCGCTTACCAGCCATCTCACTTTCCAACCTTTTCCTTTGCAGTTTCTTTATTTTATTCGCTTTGTTTTTGCCTGGTTATATGTACTTAAAAGCTACCTCAAGTCCTTTTAAACCGGAGGAGATATATGCCACTTAGCAACAAGCAGCTCAGGGGAAGGACTTGAGTGTGAAGATCATCTGGCCCTGGCTGCTGTGGCTCAGGGGATAGAGCCTCGGCCTGCGGACTGAAGGGACCCAGGTTCGATTCTGGTCAAGGACACCGGCCCAGGTTGCCGGCTCAGTACCCAGTAGGGGGCGTGCAGGAGGCAGCCAATCAACGATTCTCATCGTTGATGTTTCTATCTCTTTCTCTTCCTTCCTCTCTGAAACCAATAAAAATATATTAAAAAAGGAAAAAGATGACCTGGCCAAGCACTCAGGAAACGCTTGAGGACACCTATCCTCCTGGCTCTGCGGCTCTGGTTCAGAGCAGGTTCTGGGGGCAGAGGCTCAAACCCAGCGCCACCTCTCTCCCTGCGGGCCCTGAGCGCAGTGTCTGATCCTCGCCATGAGGCTCACGTCTGAGAACGCAGGTCACGTGCTGGGGTGGCACCTCAGCCCACAGCCGCCACGGACTCGGCTACAGAGCAGGGCCGGAAGGGTCTCACACCCTCAAGGCAGACACGGTCATCTCCCCAGGGCTTGGTGTCTGCTCTGGCGAGCGGTTTCAGTGTGGCTTCTATAGTAAGAAGGCATTTGGGGAAGTAGAACCTCAAATCCACAGGCCTTTTCCACATAAATCACAGGATTTCCAAGAACTGCTCAGCTGGCTGTGCCCCAGGGAGCCTACTGCTCCGTCCTCTCTCAGTGGCCAGGCCTGAGGAGCCCTGATGGCTGTTGGCTTCATTCTGGGGCCCAGGGGTGGGGCCCCAAGAGCTGCCCCGCAGGCTCGTGAGAATGTCCTCCTGGGCTTGTCTTCTTGCTCCCCCCCCCCCCCCCCCCCCCCCGCTGACTGGAGGTGCTCCAAGCACAGAGCGCGGCCACCGTACCTTCCTCGTCCCCGAAAGCGCTGCCTTGGGTCCAGTGAACGCTGTGGTCGTCCTGGGGGAGAGGGCACACGTCAGGGGGTCTGGCTCCGTCAGGGTCAAAGGCTTCCGTCCCTCTGACCCTATTTCTGGGCTGATTCCTGCCTGGGCCTCGCTCCTGAGGCACAAAGTGCTCCCACACAATTATGTCTGACACGCCGATCCCCGAGGGGAGAGACCCGGCAAGCAGCGGCATGTGCGTTCACAGGGCCAGTGGTTCAGAGACGAAGATACGGCGCTGCTTGGTTGCTCAGTGGTTAGAGGCCGGCCCCCTGACCAAAGAATTGAGGGTTCGATTCCTGGGCATGTACCTCTTACAGGTTTGATCCCGGCTCTGGTCCAAGGAGGAGGCAACCAGTCCATGTGTCTCTCTCACATCAATGTTCCCCTCTCTCTCCCTCCCTCCCCCACCCTTCCAAGCTCCCTCTAAAGATCAATGGGGGAAATATCCTCAGGTAAGGATTAAAAGCAAACAAGACGAAAGAGGAAAGCTTGCCAGCCCCTGGAATGGTGACCATGTGAGAGGGTGTCCTTGGCGCCGGCGGGGGAGGTGCGGTGGGGAGAGGGTTACCCTGGCTCCAGCCCTCAGGGTTACGGTAAAGGGCAGGTCTGCCCCTGACTCCCGGAGTCTGTAGTCCACGATCTTGGGAAGTTACTAAACTCGGAACCTGAGTCCAGGCCAGGACAGCAGGGATAACCGTGTTGACATGACCGGTAATCCCGTCACGTGTCACCCAGTTGTGAGTCCAAATGGAACACCTGTTCCCTCACACCGTGTCCTCTACCCAAACGTTACTATGGTTACCAGCCTCTGGCCGGTGTCCCTTCGGCAGGGGCAAGGGGCTGAGGTTATGGCCCAGCCCCACCTCCCAGGAGGCCCCAGGCAAAAGGGAACCTCCACTCCGGAAGGAAGGAGGGGGCCCTGGCCTCTCCGCACCCAGGCCCTCTGCACAGGAGCAGGCAGAGAGCGGGGAACAAAGGCCCTTGTTGTTTGCTTCTGAGCGCGGGGACAGCCGCGTCACAATGAAGTCTGTGACCTGCCTCCCTGCAGGTCTCTGAGGCCGGAGGGCGGGCAGGGTGGAGAGGGCAGGGCACCGGGCCACCTGGCCACCCACTCATCCTGTAGTTCCGTCCGTGGGCACAGCAGGGCCTCTGGGGAGGAACCCGGACGCTTCTCTCGGCCTAGAGCCCGCAGTGAGCTCAAAAGCCCTGGCCGCAGCCCCACCCGGAGCCTCGGACTATGGTGGCCCTCCCGGGGATTCTAACAGTGGCCAGCGGAGGGCAGCCTGATGGGCAGGCAGGGTGCAGACAGGAGGGAGAGGTCAGGGGCCGAGGTGGGGCCTGCCCTGCACCCCCCAGTCTCAGGGAGGCTGCCCATCTCTAGGCGCCTTCAGTGCCCAGGTCTCCCAGCCCCGCGCAGCTCTGAGGACTCCCCGGGAGGTGCCTGCGGGAGGCAACCAACCAACGTGTGTGTGTGTGTGTGTGTGTGTGTGTGTGTGTGTGTGTGTGTCTTCTCTCCCTCCTCTCCCACTCTCTCTACAAATCAACGGGAAAATATCCTCAGGTGAGGATTAGCCAAAAGTACGTACGTACATACATACATACATACATAAGGCTTTGCTGAGGTATCATGGATGTTCAGCAAACCTCATATTTAAAAGTGTGTCTGATACTTTCAAAGGACGTTTAATGGTATATTATTATTTAATTTGTTGTCAATTTTCCCGAGGATATTTTTTCCATTTATTTTTAGAGAGAGTGGAAGGGAGGTAGGGAAGGAGAGAGAGAGAGAGAGAGAGAGAGAGAGAGAGAGAGAGAGAGAGAGATATCACAGGTTTACACTGGCCAGGGCTGTCTGTATTTTCAAACATCCTATATAATAAAAGCCTAATATGCTAAGTGCCCAGTTGTCTTTCCAACCAATCAAAGTGTAATATGCTGATGATATGCTAAGGCCGCTCAATAGCTCACTATGATATGCACTGACCACCAGGGGGCACATACTATGACAGTTAAGTTAGCTTGCTGCTGCAGTCCAGCCACTTGGAACTGAGTGAGACAGGCCGGATGTGCCCTGGAGCCCTCCCTCGGTCCCTCCTGGGCTGGCCAACCTCCCGCATCCCTCCCCAGTCCCCATCGTGCACCGGCAGGGTCCCTCAGCCTGGCCTGTGCCCTCTCGCAATCTGGGACCCCTCGGGACGTTGGGGAGCCAATTTCAGCCTGATCCCACAGGCCAGGCCGAGGGACCCCACTGGTGCACCAGGCCTCTAGTCTTTACATAAAGTTCACAAGATCCCCTCCTTAGCAGCTCACCCCTCTCCAGCTCTTTCCTTATGTAATTTCCCACCACAGGAGATTCCCTAACGTCAGCGTGGCCTGCTGGCTAGAGCGCCCTTCATTCTGGAGGGACTGGGAGAGTTTTGTTTTGTAACTGTGGTGTCCTCTATCTCCCCCCCCACCCCCCCAAGCAGGCGGGTTTTGCTTTCGTCCCATTCCACCTGCAGCGAGGGGCGAGGCTGAGAGCGGAAGGGCAGGTGCGAGGGCGCTGGGGAGCCCCTGCAGCCCCCACGCGGCTCTGTCCGCTTTCAGAGGCAAAGCCGAACCCTTGGCGGCTCCCCCGGGCTGGAGCCCACCGGCCGGCTCGGGGTTCTCCCCGTGGGGCGCACCGGAAGGCAGGTGCCCGGGCGCTGGGAGGGGGCAGAGCGCGGAGGGCAAACCTGCCTGGAGCCCAGGGCTGGCCCCGCTCCCGGGAGTCCGCCCCGCGGCGCTAATCAACCAGGCGAACCGCGGGCAGAGGGAGCCGCCCGGGCAGGCAGCGACGGCGCCAGGGCGCGGGGATCCGGCCGCTTGGGAACCGGAAGACGTGGGTCCTGGCCCCAAAGTTACCGAGAGGGCTCCCCCACACACAGGGGAGAGGGGCTCCCCCACGCACAGGGGAGAGGGGCTCCCCCACACACAGGGGAGAGGGGCTCCCCCACACACAGGGGAGAGGGGGCTCCCCCACACACGGGAGAGGGGCTCCCCCACACACAGGGGAGAGGGGCTCCCCCAGACACGGGAGAGGGGCTCCCCCACACACAGGGGAGAGGGGGCTCCCCCAGACACGGGAGAGGGGCTCCCCCACACACGGGGCTGTGTGATCGGACGCAGTTTCCCATCGGGACGCAGGGGTCACCCGCAGGCGGGGCGCCCGGCAGGTCCCGGGACGAGGCTGTGGCCCCGGCCGCGCGGTCGGACGGGGAGGAAGGAGGTCCGGGTCCCGCTGGAGCCGCCCGCCCGCCCCGTCAGTCCGGCCGCCCTACCTGGCTCCGGCCCAGAGCCCCGGGCGCGGCCCCGCGGCGGAGAGGAGCGTGAGGAGGACCCCCGAGCCCACGGCGCCGAGCAGCAGCAGCAGCCGCCACAGCAGCGCGCCGCGCGGGAGCCCCATGCAGCCCCGCCGGCGGGCGCCCCGTCTGCGGCCGCGCCGCCCGCCCGCCCGGAGCCAGCGCCTCCGAGGCCGCGGCCCCGCCCCGCCCGCCCCGCCCGCCCGCCCGCCCGCCCGCCCCGCCCGCCGGGATCCAGCGCCTCCGAGGCCCCGCCCGCCCCGCCCCGCCCGCCCCGCCCCCGCCCCGCCCCGCCTGCCCCGCCCCGTTCCCGCCCGCCCCGCCCCCGCCCACCCGCCCGCCCCGCCCGCCCCGCCCGCCGGGATCCAGGGCCTCCGAGGCCCCGCCCGCCCCGCCCGGACCGCCCCGCCCCGCCCGCCCCGCCCGGACCGCCCCGCCCCGCCCGCCCCGCCCGGACCGGCCTCCGGAGGCATCCACCTGCGGAGGCCTCGCCCTGCGCCTGTCCTGCTCCCCGGTTCCCGAGGCGGCGGGGCGGCCCCCTCGAAAGGCGCCCCGAACCCCCGTGTGGCCTGGCCGCGGACCAGGGGCTGAGCGCCGGCCTAGGAACCGGGCATGGCCAGGGCACAGGTCCAGGGCCGTCCATCCCCAGCGGGGCGCGCAGGAGGCAGCTGGCCATGGTTCTCTCTCACCGATGTTGCTCTCTCTCTCCCTCTCCCTTCCGCTCTGAAGTCAGTACAAATATGCGGAAGGAATGGTGGTGGTGTGCGCATCTGGGGCCTTTCCGGAATCTGGGAATTGGGTGTGATGAGCCGGTTCACCCAACAGCTGAGATGGGGAGGGTGGAGGCCCCCAGACGCTCCGGGCTGACGGTGGGCTGAGGCCGGAGCCTGCAGGATGGGCTGGGGGGAGGGGAGCGGAGGCTGCAGGATGGGCTGGGGGGAGCGGAGGCTGCAGGATGGTTGGGGGGGAGCGGAGGCTGCAGGATGGGCTGGGGGAAGCGGAGGCTGCAGGATGGGCTGGGGGAAGGGGAGCGGAGGCTGCAGGATGGGCTGGGGGGAGGGGAGCGGAGGCTGCAGGATGGGCTGGGGGGAGGGGAGCGGAGGCTGCAGGATGGGCTGGGGGGAGGGGAGCGGAGGCTGCAGGATGGGCTGGGGGGAGGGGGGCGGAGGCTGCAGGATGGGCTGGAGAGCGGAGGCTGTGCGCCACTTGGTGACTGTCCCTGGCGGCCAGGCCCTCAAGCCCTGCATCCCCTTTACAAAGCGAGGCCCCTGGAGGTCTGAGCGCAGGGGGAGCACCAGAGTCTGGCAGGGGCTTCCAAGTCCGCAGGAGGAGGAGTGCGGGCACCTGTGCTCTGACACAGAGCCCCACCCCCACCATTTCCCCCGTGGTGACTGTTCTCCAGTGGGCAGAGCCCTGGGACCTGTGAAACCCTCCAGCGCCCCCCAACGGCCAGGAGCTGCAGGGACCAGAGGGACCTGGCCCCAGCTTTCTGATCTCACCTGTGCCGGCAAGTCTGCTCTCACCCTAGTCAATTGCAAGTCTTCCCAGAAGCTTCCCGGGGCCATGCCTGTGGTCAGGCTGGGTCATTTAGTCTCAGTTCTCGTGAACTGCCAGGAGCATTGCGCAGCCGGTGCGGCTCAGTGGTTAAGCATCAACCTATGAACAGAGGTCACAGTTCTGTTATGGTCAAGGCACAGAGGAAGGGAGCGGGAGAGAAAGATAGAAACAGCAATGATGAGAGAGAATCATTGATCGGCTGCCTCCTGCACAACCCTGCTGGGGACGGGGCCCCCACCCTGGGCATGAGCCCTTGACCGGAATCGAACCCAGGACCCTTCAGTCCAAAGGCCAATGCTTTATCCACTGAGCCCAACCGGCTAGGGTGAGGATATTTCTAGGGAGAGTGGAAGAGAGAGGGAAAGACAGAGAGAAACATCGGTGTGAGAGAAACACAGCAATTGGTTGCCTCCTGCACACACTCTGACCAGGGCCCAGGCCAGGGAGGAGCCTGCAACCAAGGTACATGCCCCTGACCTGAATGGAACCCAAGACCATTGGTCTGCAGGTTGACGCTCTATCCACTGAGCCACACCAGCCAGGGCAAAAATACATTTTAAAAAAAAGAAAGAAAAGAAATGGAAAAACAAATAAAAAAAGAAAAAAAAAAGAAAAGAAATGGGATGTTTTAGATAATATATTGTAGCAACTCTGGGTACTGGTAACCCCCTCCCCGCCCCAGGCTTGTGATTTGCTGTCTCTTTAGTGATTGGCAGGCTTGTTTTTTGTGAAGTCCCACCCCCATTCCCTTGAGGGTTAGGCCCTGGATGTTGCTCTGCAGGGAAGCAGTTCAGTGCACTCACTGGCCTGGGAGGCAGAGATGGGCTGGGCTCTTCCCATCTCTTCCCCTGACCACCAGCAGTTAAGCTCCGTTCGGCCTGCTGATTGCCCTATGCTTACAAGATTGGTGAGGAGCGATCCTTCTTATATTAATGATTACATAGGTCATTATCTATAGGAGCTGCACAGGGCAGCTCGTTACTCAATTCTTTTTACTTTGCTTGAATATGTTTGCATATGCTTGAAATTTTCCATCTCATAAAGTTAAATTTATTTCTTTGTCTGTATGTGAAATAGACCTCATCAGATTCTTTAGAAATAGAAGGTCATTATTAAGTTGAACTAAAATCTTCAAAAGTATTTATAGATACTTTTCACGTAAGAGGTGGATTATGGTTTTACAAAACTGAGTAATGAAAACTTCCAAGTATTCCGTGTTCTGAAACGATCTTGTGTAAGCATCTTTGTAAAAATACAAAGATTCGCCTATTTCTCACTATCCGAAATGGCATGAATTTCAAGTAAGTTCCTAATCAAAATTTATTAGATGTGGTAATTATATACCACAGGCTGGTTTTGTCATTGCAATCAAAACCATCTTTAGGTGATTAGTTATTTTATGGAAAAAAAAAGCCATGATGGACATGGTTCCAGTTGTATTTCAGGAATCTATAAGAAGACACATTTATGCACTGAATTGAGCTGAGTGGAAACTGAGCTTGCAAAAAGCTGACGACTGAATTTTAAATATTAGCTGGGATGTTCTGGGTCTGGGATTGGCGCTTGTGATTCAGACAATTAGAGCCCAAAGCTTTTCAAGATTTAAAAGGGTTTTAAAATATTTTTTCTATAGACCTAGTACTGGGAAGTTTTTTTTCAACCTCTTAGAAATGTTAATTTCTTTAAAAGATAAATGATTTGGCCGAAACCGGTTTGGCCCAGTGGATAGAGTGTCGGTCTGCGGACTGAAGGGTCCCAGGTTTGATTCCGGTCAAGGGCATGTACCTTGGTTGCGGGCATATCCCCAGTGGAGGGTATGCAAGAGGCAGCTGATCGATGACACTCTCTCGTCAATGTTTCTAACTCTATCTCTCTCCCTTCCTCTCTGTAAAAAAATTAATAAAATATATTAAAAAAAGAAAAAAGATGATAAACCTTAAAAGTATTCCCAGCAAATTTTTTTTGTTAGTTTGGAATCCAAATTGGACCCATTTGCCATCATGGTCCTAAATACTTTTCAAATCTGTGTTCATCTCTCCAGCCACATGGCGTGCACTGGCTATGTCCCCCTGCGATACAGCTGTCCTCTAACTCCCCCGTCTCCCCTTGTGTCACTCAGCCCGTGGCCACTGGGACGTGTACGAGGCGGAGACTCCTGTGTGGTCCACGTCACTGACAGTAACCTGCAAGCCGGGGGCACAGACAGGAAAGCCCGCCTTCCGGTGCAGAGACAGAGCAGGAGCTGAAGGGTGACCGTGTACCTCGTCACACGTGCACACGTGGGCACTGGAACATGTGGCGGTGCTTGCTTATCAGAGCCCAGCTGACGAGGAAGGCTTACAGTAAAAGCTTGTTTTATTTTTAAAAAATATATTCTTATTGATCTCAGAGAGGAAGGAAGAAGGGGGAGAGATAGAAACATCAGTGATGAGAGAGAATCATAGATCGGCTGCCTACTCACACCCCCTACTGGGGACCAGGCCTGCAACCGGGCATGTGCCCTTCACTGGAATCGAACCCCAGACCCTTCAGTCTGCAGGCTGACGGACGCTCTCTCCACTGACCCAAACCAGCTAGGGCTCTGGAAAAATTTTAAAAGACATGATTAAGCTGAAAACACTAAACTAAATTCTTCATGGGCTCCGGATGAAGGTGGCAGAGTGGACGTGTGCTTCCAATCACATTCCTTCCTGAACCCCCACTCAGATGCTGAGCAAGAATTTTTAAAAGCACAGAGTCAGGGAGGAGAGGGTTGGGGCCACAGCGACACAATCCCGGAAACGGAAAGCAGAGGATAAGAGGTAACGGATTTAACGTTACCCCAAAACACCCCCCATCGTCCCTCAGCCATGTGCCCTTCCAGAGGAAACCCTCTTTCTCACGTGAACCCGCTGTGGATGTTCCCAAACCTCACAAACGGAACCCTCATGTGTGCCGCCAGCGTGCCCTTTCACGGCGAGCGCTTCCCATCCCCGGGTGAACAGCCCCCCTTTCCCATCCCCCTGCCCCCCCCTGTTCACATCCATCCCCGGGGTGAACAGCCCCCTTTCCCATCCATTCCCGGGTGAACAGCCCCCCTTTCCCATCCATTCCCGGGTGAACAGCCCCCCTTTCCCATCCATCCCCGGGTGAACAGCCCCCCTCCCCCCCCACCCCCCCGTTCACATCCATCCCCGGGGTGAACAGCCCACCTTTCACATCCATCCCTGGGTAAACAGCCCCCCTTTCACATCCATCCCCGGGGTGAACAGCCCCCCTACCCCCTCCCTCCCCCCCCCCCCCGTTCATATCTATCCCCTGGTGAACAGCCCCCCGCTTTCCCATCCATCCCTGGGGACGGCCACCCAAGCTGCTCCAGTTCCTGGCTACGCGCACGCGCCTGTTCGAACACTTGGCACAGGCCATCCCGCCAATCCCTGGTGGCAGCCACGCAGGGCCTTGTCCCCGACGGACAAGCTCCCGGCCGGGCGAACTGCCTGGTCACATGACCGCCTTTGGAGGGGGCAGAAACAGGGACCTGGTTGAGATTGGGGGGGTGGGGGGTGCGTACGGGTGTGGTGAGGGAAGCTGCCCGCCTGGGACTGGACAGACCTGCCCGCCCCCTCTCCTGGCCGAGTGCCCAGCCCGGGGCGCTGCTCTGAGGTCCCTGGGGAGCCCCTCACTCCGCACCAGACAATCAAGTCCTCACCTGCCTTCCCCCCTCCCCCCCGGGCTCCCTGGCACAGGTGTCCTTGCCAAGCCCGGCCTGGCTCCCTGGCTGCCGTGACTTCAAAGAGCTGGCTGGCAGGAGGGGGGGAGAGGCAGGTGTGTGTGGGGGGATGCTGCAGCCATTACCCCTGTCCCCCCCCTCCCCGAGCACACCCAGTCAGACACAGGAGCCGGCAGCCGGGTGCTGAGGGCAGAGCTCCAGGCCGGCAGGAGGGCGCACACCGGGGGAGGCTCACGGCAGCACCTGACCGGCCCCTGGCGCTGGCGGAGGGGGGCCGGGAGCCTGACCCGGCAGGATCCGTCCTTTCAGGAGATCCTGTGGGACATTCACAAGGTGTTCTGGGGCCAAAACCATATGTGTTTTTTTTTTGTTTTTTTTTTTTAAAGAAAACACTTTATTAGACAATATGAAAAAAGAGGATGGTCTGTTGAAATCCAAATAATTGGTACACAGGGAAAGAGGAAGTCGCAAAGGTGTAAGTTACTCAACAAAGAGAGGCCTAGAGGACGGAGCTCAAGGGGAAGGTGGAGCAACATCAGCCAGGGCAGGAGGAGGGTGTCCTGGTCGGAGGACAGGAGCGGCGTCTGCGGGTCTGCGGTCAGGGCGCTGGCCTTTCCCGGGCGGGGCCTGGCGGCTCAGGGAGGGGCAATGGCCCCTCTCGCCCTCTCCTTTCCAGCCCGGAGGCAGGGCGGGTCCTGTGGGCTGCGTGGGTGCGTGTGATTCCCACACCGGCCACCGGTGGCCGTGCCCGCCCGCACGCTCCGGTCACACTCACCGCTTGTCTGGACGCTGCCCCCGCAGACACCGGCCTGAGCCCCTGCCTGCCGGCCCCATCTTCCCACTCGCATCCTCTGCGGAATGTGTGAGCGCAGCTCTTCTGCCCAAACTCTGAGCTGCCCATTGCCCTGGCGTTGGGTGACGCCCCAAAACAGCCAGTTAGATCCCAAGGGGAAGCGCCCACCAAGAGAGCTGGGCCTGCTGCTCCCGCACCAGCTCCCCGTGTGGTGGGAGCTGGGGGGGGGGGTGCCCTGGGGGTGCCGTTTGCTCTGGGATCTCGTGGTGCCTGGCGTGTGCATGTGCGTGTGCTTGTGCATGTGCATGTGCATGTGCGAGTGCAGAGTCAGGACAGGCCTCCGCCGCCTGGTTCCCCGCCACTGGTGCCCCTGCCCAGGACGTGACGATCCGTGTGAGGCACACGTGTGGCAAACAGCTCTGAGCACGGGGCACACACGCTCCGGCCTGTCTGGCGCCTGGACCTGGCCTGCAGGTGACCTTGGCTTCAGGTGCCCGCAGCTGGGCCAGGCGGGAGGCAGGGACCGCTGCCAGTCTCCCCAGAGCGAGCCCAGCCTCCCGTCCGGGCACAGACTTCCTCCTGCCGTCACCCTCCCGCCCTCTGCAGCACCACCACCCCTCCCCCCGGCCGGGGCGCCTGCACCCGTCACCCGCTCTCCCCGTGGACCTCAGAGACGCCCAGCGCCCCGCCCCGCAGCCAGAGCCACACACCCGTGGGGCGGGCTCCGGGCAGCGTGGAGGGCGAGCAGGAAGTGCGGCCGCGGCCGAGTCGTACTTGACCCTGTCGCGCCTGTTAGGGTCGCGGAAGGAGGCACGTACGAGGCTGACGGGGGGGGGGGGGGGGGGGGAGACGGTCAGAAATCTGTGAGGTCGTCTGGAACCCACCCACGTGGCGCCGGCACCCAGGCACAGGGGGGCGCTGGAGGTTTCACTTTTGTTTTTATTTATTTATTTTAATATATATTTTATTGATTTAAAATATATATATATATATATATTATTGATTTTTTACAGAGAGGAAGGGAGAGGGATACAGAGTTAGAAACATCGGTGAGAGAGAATCATTGATCAGCTGCCTCCTGCACACCCCCTACTGGGGGTCGAACCTGAAACACAGGCACGTGCCCTTGACTGGAATCGAACCCGGGACCCTTCAGTCCACAGGACGACGCTCTATCCACTGAGCAACACCGGCTAGGTCCAGACTTTTGAATTCTTGCTAGTTCCCTCCTGGTGGGAAGAGGCCTGGGGTTCGATGGCCCTCGGGGCTCTTGGTCCAGGCTGGATTGGGTCGAGGGAAAGGGCAGGAGCTATTCAGTGCGAAAACTGCTCTCTTTGAGCGGCGCGTCCCTGTGAAGGTTTTATCGATATTTCAAACTGGTGAGAGAACAAGGCTCGGAGAAAGCGCCCGGCATGTGTTTCTGGGTGACCGTCTGCCGTAGGAAAGAAGGGCGTGGTGACGGGTGAGACTGGGTGCCCCAAAGGGAGGTGTGGTTAGAGGTGCTAAGCTTACCCCAGGAGGAGTCAGCCGTGGGGGCAGAGACCCCAGGAGGAGTCAGCCGTGGGGGCAGCGCCTGAGCCATGGCGGGCAGGTGGGTGACGGTGGGAGGCTGCTCGGGAGGCACCTGGAGCGGGAGGGGCTGCGCCAATGGAGACCCAAGCACAGGTCCCACCAGGCTGCCCTGACCTAAGGCAACGGGCAGGGCCTTTGCACCCTTCAGGGAGGGGCATTGGCTTCCAGGGGTGAGGGGGGGGTGGAGCACCCCGTCCTCTCTGAAATCAATAAAAATGTGTTTTTAAATATACATTTAAAAAGGACAGAAAAAAGAACCGGAACACCTGGGGGGAAAAAAGCAAAAAAAGCTGCGCATTAGAGAATGGTGCGCCGAGATGCTGCCACCTACCGCCCTGCGCTGGTACTGCACCCTTTCCCAGCAAAGCAAATCAGTCTCTGGGCTCTGCGGGCAGAGGTTCTGTTTGGCTCCTTGGGGTCCTGGTCTTCAGAGTCCAGTCCTGGAGCCAGGGCCCAGCGAAGGTGACGGAAATGGCTCTGGGTTAGCCCAGGCTCCTGTGGGGGCTGAGAGCCTTCGGGGAGGATGGGGGAATGACGGGAGTTCCTGGTTCATCAGACGTGCTCGCGCAGCGGTTTTTAAAAACCTGTGAATGGACGCCCTGGGAGCCAGGCTGCAGGCTAGAGGCCCCTCAGAAAGGGGCAAGGGGTGCTTCTCACAGGGAGACTGTGATTCATGAACGAGGGGACGGGAAGATGTGAACGCTGGTTCCCAGGGGAGCCCAAAGCACGCGCGCGCGCGCACACACACACACACACACACACACACACGTGCCAGAGCCCGACGGGACGCTAAGGCGCGTTTACTGACAGGTACAAACCGGCCGCCACCCACGGGTCAGCCACCCGTGTCTCCATTTACAACACGGACCACCACCCACGGGGACAGCCACCCGTGTCTCCATTTACAACACAGACCACCACCCACGGGACCGCCACCCGTGTCTCCGTTGTACATGTATTTGTATCTCTGTGGACAAGACTTTTTTTATCCCCAGTTTCCCTCCCCCTCTCCAAAGCCCAAAGACAAGAGGGCTGCTCAGAGAGCCCCAGCGGCCCTCAGCCCTCTTCATCTCAGGGCTCCCACACGCGAGCGACTGGAATTCTGCAGCACACCGCAAGGCGAGGTTTTTGGCGAAAACAAAAGAGGTATGTTGGTGATTCACTCGCGCCGGCCGGCCGGCCACTGCGGGCACGTGTTTATTCCGCTCTGAGGGGAGGCCGAGGGCCCCCCGCCAGGGCTGCGGTCTCCTGAGTTCTCAGCAGCACCGGAGACCGCCGCCCGGGCGTCCGCAGTGACCTGGGCGCCTCCAGGCTTCCCCGCTGCGAAGAGACCAGACTTCCCACCCGCGTTCCCACCCCTCCGCTCCTGCCTCTGCCCACGGCTTCTGCAGGGAGCGTGGTTTTCACTTAAAATTCCTCCGTCTCAAGAAGGGAGCCCTGCCCTATCCGGTGCGGCTCAGTGGATAGAGCTTTGGCCTGCAGACCGAAGGGTCCCGGGTTCGAATCTGAACAAAGGCCCCGAACCTCCGTGGCAGGCTCCTCCCAGGCCTGGGCCCCGGTCAGGGCTCATGCAGGAGGCAACCAACGGACGCGCTTCTCTCACATCGATGCTTCTCTCTGGCTCCCTCTCCCCTCTCCCCAACAATCAATGGGAAATACCCTCCGGTGAGGATTCCAAAGAGGAAACATAAAAGAAAGGCCCCTGTGCTCCCCGTCCTGGGACAGAACTTTCCGCTACTTGCCAGGCTCTCCCAGCGCCAGTCACGGCCGCCTGAGGGACGGACGGACGTACGGACAGGCGGGCGGACGGCGTCCCCTCCCGGACGGGGCCGGGGCCCGGGCTGGCGAGCCCCGGGGCCTCAGCCCCTCGGCGGGGGCGCCTCGGGGCGCTGGTACAGCCGGATGATGCCCTCGTCGTGCAGCCGCTTCCAGAGCGCCCTCTCCAGGCCGAAGTCGTGGTTGAGGTAGAAGACGGTCCTCCTCCACGCCCGGTCGTAGTAGTGGTCGGAGAAGCGCTCGTGGCCGGCCGTGATGAAGCCGTAGGCGCTCACCTGCAGGCGGGGGCGGGGGGGAGGAGCGGCCGTCGCGCTCCGGCCTCCTCGGTCTGTGTGCGCCGGGTGCCCCCCCGCCCGCCCGCCCGGTGTGGGGCGCCCACGCCCACGCCCCGGCCCCGGCCCGGCCGCCCCTCCTCGCCTGGTCGCAGAGCTGCAGGGCGGTGAGCAGCAGCAGGGCGCCCGTGGTGGGCCGGTAGATCCGCCAGCGCGCCGTGTCCAGGGTGCGGGACCGCAGGAACCTGGACGGCCCGCCCGCCCCGTCAGAGCTGCCCAGGCACACGCCCCGCCCCCCCGGCCGGGCCCACCTGTTCTTCATGTAGCGAAGCAGGTCCGGGTGCAGCAGCAGGTACCGGTCCAGCCGCAGCGCCTCCCGGAAGGCCACCTGCGGCCTGTGCCTGCGGCAGGGGCCACGCTCCGTCTGCTCCCGCCCGGGCCTGGCGCCCGCCATCGCTCTGCACGCACACGCACACACATGCATGCATGCACACACACAGAGACTCACACATGCACGCACACACACATTTACACGTGCACACACATACACAAACATGCACACACACTCACCCGTGCATGCACACTCACAGGTACATGCATGCACACACGCAGACTCACATGTGCATTCACACGCACGAGTACATGCATGCACACACACATTTACACGTGCATGCACACGCACAAACATGCACACACTCACCCGTGCATGCACACGCACAGGTACATGCATGCACACATGCCCGCACACACGGTACCTGAACCCGAAGAGGTTGCCGGTCTTGTACGTCTGGTTCAGGAGCAGCGCCTCCAGCCACTCGTAGTCCCGGGAGCCTTCCAGGAAGTGCAGGTACCGGACGTCCTGGGACCAAGGACGGGCTGGGGCCCGGCTCTGCCTGCAGCCCCCGTGCGGCTCCCAGGCCCGGTCCCCCGCCCGCCCCGCCTCCTCCCTGTGAGCGGAGCCTGTGCCGCCGCAGCTTCCCGGGATGCTGGCCTCTCCCCCGGTGCCCCCTCCGGGGGCCGCCGGCCAGGCCATCCCCCTCACCTCCCCCAGCGGCGCGTGCAGGAAGCCGCGGCCGCCCAGCAGGTACAGGGACTGCGTCAGGGAGAAGGCGGTGAAGCCGTAGAAGGAGGTCCGCGTGCCCACGTCCTGCTCGTAGCCCTTGGTGAGGGCGCCGCTCAGCCTGTGCGGAGGGATAGGTCAGAGGTCAGACGGCCGGGCGCAGAGGGAGCTGCTGTGGGGAGCACGAGGGATGGAGAGAGTGCCCCCCCTGGGGAGCACGAGGGATGGAGAGTGCCCTCCCCTGGGGAGGACGGAGGGATGGAGAGAGTGCCCTCCCCTGGGGAGCACGAAGGATGGAGAGAGTGCCCTCCCCTGGGGAGCACGAGGGATGGAGAGAGTGCCCTCCCCTGGGGAGCACGAGGGATGGAGAGAGTGCCCCCCCTGGGGAGCACAAGGGATGGAGAGTGCCCTCCCCTGGGGAGGACGGAGGGATGGAGAGAGTGCCCCCCCTGGGGAGGACGGAGGGATGGAGAGAGTGCCCCCCCTGGGGAGGACGGAGGGATGGAGAGAGTGCCCCCCCTGGGGAGGACGGAGGGCTGGAGAGAGGAGCCCTCCACAGGCCCGGCAGGCAGTGCGCAGAGCCGGGCTCTGCAGGAGAGGCTGGGGCGGGGTGGGGGGGCTCACCGGAACACGTAGTCGTGGCGGTCGATCTCCTCGCCCACGTGGGAGTTGTTCAGGATGCCCCCGTTGCCCACCACGGCGCAGCTGACGCACTGGGTGCTGCCGGCAGGGAGGCCGGCCAGGAGCAGCTGCTGCTGGGCCACCGGAGGGAAGCGGGACACCACCTCCTGCACCACTGGAAGGGGGGGTCAGAGCCCGGGGGTGGCGGTCAGAGCCCGGGGAGGGGTGGTCAGAGCCCGGTGGGGGGTGGTCAGAGCCCGGGGGGGGGTGGTCAGAGCCCAGGGGGGGGCAGTCAGAGCCTGGGGGGGGCAGTCAGAGCCCGGGGGGGGCAGTCAGAGCCGGGGGGGGGGTCAGAGCCCGGAGGGGGGGCAGTCAGAGCCGGGGGGGGCAGTCAGAGCCGGGGGGGCAGTCAGAGCCCGGGGGGGGGCCCGCAGTGGCGGGGGGCGGCAGTCAGAGCCGGGGGGGCAGTCAGAGCCGGGGGGGGGTCAGAGCCCGGAGGGGGGGCAGTCAGAGCCTGGGGGGGGCAGTCAGAGCCCGGGGGGGGGGCCGCGGTGGTGGCGGGGGCGGGCAGCCCGCACTCACGGGAGCGGTTGAGCTCCATGAAGCCGAAGGGCGGCACGAAGTGCTCCAGGCGCGCCCACTCGCTGGGGCTGACGTGCCGGGCGTCCAGGAAGAGGGTGAGGTTGGGCAGGAAGAGGCGCTGCAGCCAGGGCGACTTGGCGGCTCGCACCTTCACCGAGTCCGGGCAGCTCTGGGGGCAGGGCGGTCAGCGGGCGGAGGCCTCCCCCAGGCCCGCCCCCGCCGTAAGCCCCCTCCAGGCCCGGGGAGGGGCAGCGGGAGGGTGCCCGTGTGCTGCCTGGGCGTGGGGGCAGTTACGTGTAAGGTACATGTTTCCCGTGTGATCTCTCAGGCAGGGAAGCCAGGGAGGTGTGGGACCACTCTCTGCAGCAGACACGGTATTCCCAGGCGCTAGTCTGGGTACCTGGTTGGGCATTCTTCAATATATACATCTACATACACACATACATGTATGTACATTTACATAGATACATCATACATACACACGTATATAATGTATACGTAAATAATTGATCTCAGAGAGGTCAGGAAGGGAGAGGGATAGAAACATCAATGATGAAAGAGAATCATGGATCAGCTGCCTCCTGCAAGCCCCCTACTGGGGATGGAGCCCGCCACCCAGGCCTGTGCCCTTCATGGGAATTGAACCGTGACCTCGTGGTTCATTGGGCAGAGCTCAACCCCTGAGCCACGCCGGCCGGCACCAAGTTGGGTATCCTTGTCTGTTGGCACAGGAAGGAAGGATGGGGCGACCCAGGGTGGGGGAAGGGGCACCAGGCAGAGCCCAGGAGCAGAGCCTGGGAGGCGAGGGCGGGTGGGCGGAGTGCCGGGAGGGGCGGAGGGCAGGGTCCTGGCAAAACTCACCGTGTGCAGGCTGCCCCCGTCCATGTTGTACTGCTCCTCAAAGTCCCACTTGGGCTCGGCCTTGAAGTTGGTGGCCCGCAGCCCGGAGGTGGTGACCCTATGGGCAGGGCTGCGGGAGGGGGTGGCGCGTGGGGCGGCCCTCGCTGGGGTCACGCCTTTGGTTTTCCTCGCGGGTGACCCCGCTCCCAGGGGGGTCAGCACCTCGGCCCGGCTGTGCGGCACGGGCGTCCCTGCCGGGGGTGCCCGGGGCTGCGCCGGTGCTGTCCCCGCGGCCCTGGCCGTCTCGTTCCTGTCCCTCCTCCCTCCGCTTGTCCTCGCACCCAGAACCCGCGGTGCCCCTGTCCCAGGGGGGGCCAGGCCCCCAGCCCGACTGTGCGGGGACGGCGTGCCCACCGTGGTGCCCTGACTCCTCAACAGTGCTGTCCTGGCTGTGCCGGGCGCTCTGGCCGCGATGTGCCCCGTGGCCTCCCTGTGGCCTCCAGCCTCTTTGTGGCCCGTGGCCTCTGTGTGACCCGTGGCCTCCATGTGGCCCATGGCCTCTGTGTGGCCCGTGGCCTTTTTGTGGCCCGTGGCCTCCGTGTGGCCCATGGCCTCTGTGTGGCCCGTGGCTTCCGTGTGGCTCATGGCCTCCCTGTGGCCTCCAGCCTCTTTGTGGCCCGTGGCCTCTGTGTGACCCGTGGCCTTTTTGTGGCCCATGGCCTCCGTGTGGCCCGTGGCCTCCATGTGGCCCATGGATTCTATGTGGCCCGTGGCCTCCCTGTGGCCTGTGGCCGCTGAGTGGCCCCCAGCCTCTTTGTGGCCCGTGGCCTCCGTGTGGCCCGTGGCCTCCGTGTGGCCCGTGGCCTCAGGGTGCGTGTCCAGCGTGCTGCTCTCCTGCGTGGACCCTGCGTGGGTGGGGGCCCTCCTGTCCGCGGGGGGCACCAGGGCCGTGGTCTTCTGTGTGTGCTGCCTGGGGACAGAGAACGTCCGATGAAGGGAAGTGCCCTTTGGGAGGAAGCGCATCCCCCCCTCAGAGAGGAAGCCTGGCCTCTGGGGCCTCCCCTGGAGCACCCTGCCGGCCGGGGCTCGGGTGGAGCACCGCCTAGGAGCCCGGAGGTCACAGCTGGCTCCGGTCCGGGCACAGGCCGGGCTGCGGGTCCCTCCCCGGCGGGGCTCCTGTGGGCCTGCAGGAGGGGCCGCCGTGGTTCTCTCTCGTCGTTGGTGCTTCCCCTCCCCTTCCCTCCCGGCCGGTTCCCAGGGGCACCGCTCCCGCCTGAGGCCTGAGGCTGGTGTGTGTGGCCGAGACCTGGCACTGGGGTTGGGTGGCTGTGCCCTTCAGCCGACCTCGGGTGTTTGTGTTTTGTTTTTAACTGAAGTGCAGGAAACAATGGCAACCTTGTTCAGAGAACATGGGCCGCCAACCGTGACTTTGAAATCCAGGGCCTTGGACCGGGCCGGCCTTTCAGATTCGCTCGAGGCGCTGCCTGGTGCCCGGTGCCCGGCCGGAGAGTCCGCGGAGGAGCCGGGAGGGAGGAGTGACCGCCGCGGAGGCCCAGGCCCGGGCTCAGGGCTGTCCTCTCTTTCTCGCCGGCCTTCAGCCCCTGTGGCGTGGGGGCGGCCACCCCTCGGCCTGTTCTGGGGATTGTCGGCTCTCTGAGCTCGCAAAGCCCCATTTTAGGGGCCGAGATTCTACCCACTTAGGCCCTGGGTAATACCATGGGTGACATCCCGGGATCCACCCTGTGCACTGAATGACGTCAGTCTCCAGAGAAAGAGGGGTCACTGGCCCCTGCGATGGCAGACGCCCCCAGAGCGTTCACTGTGAAAGAACGTCACCCCATGCCCGGCTGCGGCTCCATCCCCAGGGTGGGGCGGGAGGCAGCCGGTAGAGGAGTCTCTCTCATCACCGATGTTTCTATCACGCTCTCCCTCTCCCTTCCTCTCTGAAGTCAATAAAAACCTATTTATAAAAAATAGAGAATGCCAGCCCCTGCCCAGGGAAAGCTGGCGATGGGTGTGAGCTGCTCTGTTCAGGAGGAAGACGGGTGCACCCTCCCCGAGCCGCCCTTTAAGCCCAAAATTGAGCTTAAGCTCCGAGTGCAGCCCAGAAGCTGGGGTGCTAACCCCACTTGGCAAACAGCGGCTGCTCGGGCTGCCTCCTGGGTGCGCCTCCACTTCCCGCCCGCAGACCGTGCAGCCGGAAATGCCACCTCTGTCTTTACGGGAAGTGTCAGCAGTGACCCAGGTAGTGTCAGCAGGACGCCGTTCTGTTTCATTTTAATTCCCTGTAATTGCACACCTGTGATTGCTAAGGAGGCAGGTGTTTATCCAGGCGTTACCGAGTCTCAGGTAGGTGTTTGCTGAGTGTTCCGATGTGAAACTTCCATCCTTTGTACACCAAGGGCTGGGCTGGTGTAGGGTGGGGTGGAGTGGGGTGGGGTGGGGTGCAGGGCGGGGGGTGGGGGGACCTCTTTCTATTGAGAGCCTGTAGCTCAGAGGGCCAGGCAAACCACTCACGGATCACAGCCAAGCCGGACGCCAGAAGCAATTTAATTTCCTGACTCCGATCCATTTGGGAGGTGAAAATACAACTGCTGCACTTGGGAATATAAACGCTTGCACTTTGGGAACTGCTGGATCCCATAAATGAAACACAATTTGGCATCCTCCTCCCTCTACATTCTTAGTTTGTTTGTTAATCCTCACCTGAGGGTACTGGTATTTTCCCATTGATTGTTAGGGAGAGTGGAAGAGAGAGGGAAAGAGAGAGAAACATCCATGTGAGAGAAACACATCGATCGGTTGCTCCCTGCATGAGTCCCGACCAGGGCCTGGGCTAGGGAGGAGCCTGCCACCCAGGTACATGCCCTTGACTGGAATCAAACCCGGGCTCTTTGGTTTGGCGGTGAACACTCTATCCCCTGAGCCACACCCACTAGGGCTCCCTCAAAGTTATTCTTAAAAAAAATTAAAAAAATATATATATACACACACACACACACACACCGCGTTTCCCTGAAAATAAAACATCTCCTGAAAATAAGACCTAGCACAACTCTGGGAGAAAAAATTAATATAAGACACTGTCTTATTTTCGGGGAAACAGGGTATATATATATATATATATATATATATATATATATTTGATGTCTTACAGAGAGGAAGGGAGAGGGACAGAGTTAGAAATATCAATGAGAGAGAAACATCAATCAGCCGCCTCCTGCACACCCCCTACTGGGGATGTGCCCGCAACCAAGGTACATGCCCTTGACTGGAATCGAACCTGGGACCTCCCAGTTCGCAGGCCGGCACTCTGTCCACTGAGCCACACCTGCTAGGCCTCCCCCTGGGTTCTTATGTTTGCATCACACGAGGGGACTCTGGGAGCAAAGACCAGACTGAATGTTCGAAGCGCACTGAGACAGTGCTTTCCCGGAGAGAGGACCACTGGCCTGCCCTGGCCAGGCCCCTCCGATGGCTGGGAGGCGGAGACAAATAGGACGGTTGGTCCCACCCACAAGAAATTCAGAAAAAACAGCCGCTTTGGGTTTCCGCTGGTGCCCGGCAGCTGGGCAGAGGGAGGTGATGCCGCGGGGTCCTGGCTGAGGCCTGGCGCTGGGCCTGGCAGGACAGGTGACCTCACCCCTGTATCTGTGCGAGGAGGGGAGGGTGATGATAGTGTCCGCCCGGAAGGGTTGCCCTCACCCCTGTATCTGTGCGAGGAGGGGAGGGTGATGATAGTGTCCGCCCGGAAGGGTTGCCCTCACCCCTGTATCTGTGCGAGGAGGGGAGGGTGATGATAGTGTCCGCCCGGAAGGGTTGCCCTCACCCCTGTATCTGTGCGAGGAGGGGAGGGTGATGATAGTGTCCGCCCGGAAGGCTTGCCAGACGGTCAGCAGCCGAGGCCGAGGCTGAGACCGGGCGCTGGTGGTCGCCACATGCATCGCTCATCAGCCTCCCCACTCGGGAGGCCTTTCCCCGTCGCAGACGGGCCCGCTCTCTCCCCTGCGATGCTCCGCTGCCGGCCGTCCCGTCCCAGCAGGTGCGGCCGCTGCCCTCCTCCGCCCGCCCTGCGCCCGGGAACGGCCTTGTCCACAGGCTGCCCCCACGGACCGGGTTCCTTCCCCCCCTGCTGCGCCGTTTGTAAACAATCAGCAACACAGCCCTGGAGCCCAGGTTACTATCTGCAAACCTCCTCCATCTCTGAAACGATCCTGCCATAACATGCCATAACATGGCATAAAAGTGCCAACAGCCCTTTGATGAGTGACCTTCACATACAAGGTGTCCTGACCTGGGCAAACTCTCCACCCTCGGGGTTGATGGTTTACAGCTTTCTCTTTCTTTCTTCCTTCCTTCCTTCCTTCCTTCCTTCCTTCCTTCCTTCCTTCCTTCCTTCCTTCCTTCCTTCCTTCCTTCCTTTCCTCTCTCTCTCTTCCTTCTTCCCTTCCTTCCTTTGTATAATTTTTTTTAGAATAGTTTGATCATTTTTAGAGAGGGGGGGAAGGGAGAGAAGCGTCGATGTGGGAGGCCCCTCCATTGGCTGCCTCCTGCACGCCCCTCACCGAGGATCGAGCTGGGCAAGTGCCCTGCCTGGGAGCCTGGGAGTTGAACTTGTGACCCTTGGATGCAAGAGACGACACCCAACCACCTGAGCCACAGCAGCAAGGCTCCCTTCAGTTCCTGACTTTCCTCCCCCGCCGCCCAGCACCCGTGGGGAGGAGAGTCTTTATCGCAACACTCCTATCGTTCTCTCTCTCTCTCTCCTCCTCCCCCCCTCTCCCTCCCTCTCTCCCTTTCTCCTCCCCCCCTCCTCTCCTCTCTCTCTCTCCCCCATCTCCCTCCCTCTCTCCTTCTCTTCCCCTCTCCCTCCCTCTCTCCCTCTCTCCCCCCTCTCTCCCTACCTCCCTCCCTCCCTCTCTCCTACCCCCCCTCTCTCCTCCTCCTCCCCCTCTCTCCCTCCCTCCTTCCCTTTCTCCTCCCCCTCTCTCTCCTCCTCTCTCCCTCCCTCTCTCTCTCTCCCCCATCTCCCTCCCTCTCTCCCCCCTCTCTCTCCCTCTCTCCCTCTCTCCTCCCCCCTTTTTCTCCTTCACTCCCTCTCTCCCTCTCTCCCTCCCTCCCTCCCTCCCTCTCTCCTTCTCTTCCCCTCTCTCTCCCTCCCTCCCTCTCTCCTCCCCCCTCTCCCCCCCCTCTTTGTTAATCCTCACCTGAGGACATTTCCCATTGATTTTTAGGGAGAGGAACACACATTCCCGCAGCAGCAGACTGAGCTGTAACAGAGGTCAGAGGTCACGCACACCTGTGGCTGTGAGCTTTTCAGAGGAGCACTGATGGTATCCATCGCTCCGTGATGGGAACACAGCCCTCGTCTGGGCAAGTCCACTTTTTCATCTACCTCCTTAGCGTGAGGACTCACCGGTGTGAGAGAAACCAGTGACAGCCCAGTGCCCATCGATAGGAGCTAACGAAATAGATGTCATCATTTCGTGGAATATTATACAGCCAGGAAAAAGGAGGGAGCGGCTCTATGAGCCGGGGAAGGATGCCCAGGAGCTAGTGTCGCTTTAAGAAGTCCACCTGCGGACCAGTGTGCACCTACCCACCTCTACCCACCTGTCGCCCACCTACTCCCCTGCCCCGGCCTCCGCCGGCCGCGGGAGGGCTCCAGAGGCACGGTGAGAGCCGGCTGCGGGACCCAGATGTGGGTTTGAACGCTGGCCCTGCAGCTGGTGACTGACGTGAGCTCCGGTTTCAGGATGCTCACAACCACAAGCACCAAACGGTTAATACACATAAAGCCTACAGGGTCCCGCCCGCCCGGCATCTAGAGAATTCCGCTGAAGTCTTAGCTGCGACCCTGTGTACTAAAGAGGGGCTGTACTAATGGCCATCACTCCCTCACCAAGATGGCTGCACCCACAGCTGAGGCCACGTTCCCTTAAGGAGCCTTAAGGAAGCCTGGGGACCTCAGGCCATGCCCCCCATTTTGTGGGGCTTGACAAGGCACCTCAAGGTGTGCTTCCCGTCCTGGTGCTGGGCTAGGGGACCTCAGGCTGCTCTCCTGGCCCCAGAGCCGGCCGGGGTACCTCAGGCCGCACCCCCCACCTGGCTGGGCTTGACAAGGGTGCGACTGGCCGGGTCTGGATCTAGCCCAATTGGAGGGAGGGGGCAGCCGGGTCTGGGGCCTCACGCGATTTTGAGGCGCATGTGGGTGGGCGAGGACCCGACTCTGGGTCCCGTGGTGTGCCCCAGGCTCTGACAGGAGGAAGGTTTTCATATACATTTACTAATTTTCTTTCCTCTCTGACACTTCTATTACCGAGAAAGGGCGGATAGCAATATTAAATTATTTCCTCTAAGTAATCCCCTTTTAATGTGCACGAATTTCACTAGTAACATAATAACCACATGTGCACCCAGGTATTAGGCGTGGTCACCCCGACGAGTGGATAGAGATGGAGTGTAATGGAGAGACCCCCCTTCCTGCTTCCCCTTTCTGTATTTTTGTAAACTTCACGAGAACAAGCACAGCTGTCAGATTTTCAGAAGGGTGAAACACAATTTTTAAAAATTGAGTCTAGAAAGAACAGGGTCTCTCCCTGCTGGAGATGTGCTTATTCTCTAAGAAAACCGGCCTAGCCCGGCCAGCGTGGCTCAGTGGTTGCACATCGACCAGTGAACCAGGAGGCCATGGTTCGATTCCCAGTCAGGGCTCATGCCCGGGGTGGAGAGGACTGGATCCCTGATCAGTTAATCTCTCTCATCATTGATGTTTCTCTCTCCCCCTCTCCCTTCCTCTCTCTGAAATCAATAGAAAACTGGTCTAGGAAATTCTCTCCAAGGATTCTTTTTTTTTTTTTTTTTTAACCTTTTGTTTAATATATTTTATTGATTTTTTTACAGAGAGGAAGGGAGAGGGATGGAGAGTTAGAAACATCGATGGGAGAGAATCATCGATCAGCTGCCTCCTGAACACCCCTGACTGGGGATGTGCCCACAGCCAAGATATGTGCCCTTGACCAGAATCGAACCTGGGATCCTTCAGTCCGAGGCTGACGCTCTATCCACTGAGCCACACCGGTCAGGGCTCTCCAAGGATTCTTGAGGCCCGGGGTTTAAGCTGCCTCCCAGCGCTGCAGGCTTCTTAGGGAGAGGTGGTTGCCAAGGGAAGGGATGGGTACACGGGGTAAGTCTTGTGTTTTGAGACCCTGAATGGCACGTGAGAGCTAACCCAGAGCCGCCCTCAAACTCACAGTCCCAGGGACAGCCTCTTGCTTCCTGTCTGCCTTCGGGACCCCCAGTCCGTGCCCCGGGGCCTCCCCTCCCTCCACCTCCACCATCCCAGGCGTCCCCTGGGCAGAGGCTCTGGACCGCTGTCCCCACGTGGGCACAGCCGCGTCTCCGGGTCCCCCCGCCCTCCCCCTCCCCCGTTTCCTTTTCCGCTAACGAATGGCCGGGAGCGTGGCCCGGCCCGTCTCACCTGGTGGGCTTCGTGCTCGGCTCCTTCACCAGGGCGGCCAGCGTGAACAGGAGGAAGATCAGCCCGGCCAGGAGCAGCAGCCAGTGGGCGGCGCGGCCCGGGACACCGAGCCTGGGCAGGGGGAGCCTCATGCTGGCGGGTCGGGCCCTCGGGAGGCGCCCGCATGTCCCGGGGCCTTGGTCGGCCTGCGGCGGTGCGGGGAGCGGCTCGGGGATCCTGGCCGGGCAGCGCACGCCCTCTGTCCTCAGGGAGCCGCGGGGAGCCGGGCACAGGTGTCTGCCAGGGGGAGGAGCGGAGCCGTCTGCGGAGGAAAACTCCTTGTGTTCAGACAAGTTCCCCTTCCGTCCCTTTGTCCCGAAGCCAGCCTGGGAGCAGAGGACCGTCAGATGGCAGGAAACCTGCTTCCGTCCCCGTCCCTCACCCCGGGGGCCCGGGCGGGCACCGCCTCCACGCACGAGGTGAGGTTTTGTTGTTTTGTCTTGTTTTTAATATATTTTACTGATGTTTTTACAGAGAGGAAGGGAGAGGGATGGAGAGTTAGAAACATCGATGAGAGAGATATATCGACCAGCTGCCCCCTGCACACCCCCCACTGGGGATGTGCCTGCAACCCAGGTACATGCCCTTGACCGGAATCGAACCTGGGACCCTTCAGTCCGCAGGCTGACGCTCTATCCACTGAGCCAAACCGGTTTCGACACAAGGTGAGTTTTATGACAAAAATAAGGGGACCAGCCAAAACCGGTTTGGCTCAGTGGATAGAGCGTCGGTCTGCGGACTGAGAGGTCCCAGGTTCGATTCCGGTCAGGGGCATGTGTAATATCTTGGTTGCGGGCGCATCCCCAATAGGGTGTGTGCAAGAGGCAGCTGGTCGATGTTTCTCTCTCATCGACGTTTCTAGCTCTCTATCTCTCTCCCTTCCTCTCTGTAAAAAATCAATAAAAAAATATAAAAAACAACAACAACAACAAGGCGACCCATTAGGTCCGAGGCCCCCTAGCAATCTTTTCTTAAAAGACCATCCTAAAAATAAAAATAATAAAAATAGAAAGACCATGCCCTGCGCCCGGCCACCTCCCCGCCCCTCTGGAGCACGCTGTCCTCAGCCCCACTTCACAGGCTAGGACATCGCCTCCGGGGGAGCAGCTTGGCCCGGAGCCCGGAGGGAAGGGGGGGAGTAGGGGGTGAAGGGGGGACCAGACCCGGCTGGCCCGAGGCTCCTGTTCCCCGGAGGCACAGGCCCCAGAGCAGCCCTCCGCTGCCTGACTGGGAACCGAGAACAAACGCTCGGGGCGGAGGACCCGCTGGGAGAGACACGTTATCAGTTAGGAAAACAGAATGTCCGGAGAAGCAGCAGGTGGTTCGTTCAGAAAGCACTGCGGGTGGGCGCTGTGTGTGCGGACAGGGGCGCCCGGCAGGTGCATGGGGGGCGGGCCTGGGGCCGCTGGAGGGCGGGGGGCAGCACCATAAAGGCACCGGGGCGGAGGGAAAAGGAGATCGGGCGTCTGAGCAGCGGAGAGTCGCCCCGGCACTGACGGCCTCCTCTGTCCCCAAGGTGGGCCCGAGGGCCCCGTTCCGGGGGGTGAGCTGTGAGCCAGGAGGAGCCCCGGGATGACGGGTCTCTCTCTCCCGGCACACCCCCCTGTCCGCGCCCACGCCGGCTCTCCAAACGTTTTCTCAGCCTCGCCCGCCGGCCTGGCTCAGGGGCTGCGCAGCAGCCTAGGAACCGGGAGGTCATGATTCGGTTCCCGGTCAGGGCACAGGCCCGGGTTGCTGGTTCGATCCCCGGGGTGGGGCGTGCAGGAGGCAGCCGATCCATGATTCTCTCTCATCATTCTCTCTCATTCTCTTTTAGAGAGTCCATCTCTCTCCCTTCCTCTCTGAAATCAACGAAAATATATTTTAAAAGCCCACAAATTTCTGCCTTTAATTCTTTCCCCCGTGTTTGCCTGAACTCTTGGCACGAGCAGTCACCCTCCGCCCAGGTGCCCGGGGGCAATGCCAGGCCCAGTGCACAGAGAGGCATTTCCTAGCCGCCTGGGTCTAATGAAACAAAAGTGTCTTTTTCATCTCACCGTGTTTGAAGAGACGGGCCAGGGGCCTCCACGAAGGGTGGGGATCCGGTTGGTCGCTGGTGCTGGCTGAGCCTGGTGCCAACCTGTGCCTCTGCCCCCTGGGCTACTGAGCGCGGAGCTCTCGAGCGAGCCAGCCGTGGGGGCATGGAAGCGTGGAGGCTTCCTGGTTCTCAGGTTCCAGCCCCCAGGCCGGGGCAGCCTCGGGCTTTCCGGGAGTTTGTGAATCACCATCACCTTTGTTTGGCTCCGAGTTCTGCTTTCCTCCCCGTTTTCAGCCAAAGCTTCCGACTGGACTCTCTCCGGGATGAGTCTCACTGCGGGAAGCAGCTGCTCCGTGACTCTCAGCGATGGGTGAGCTCCTGGCCCTCACACAGAGAGGAAAGATGTGCTCAAGAGATTATCCCGCTCCTGACAGCCAGGCGGGCGGGATGACCGAGTCAGAGGAGGAGTACAGTTCACAGAGAGGAAGGATTCTGTTTAAAAAAAAAAAAAATATATATATATATATATATATATATATATATAGTTGATTTTTTACAGAGAGGAAGGAGAGGGATACAGAGTTAGAACATCGATGAGAGAGAATCATTGATCAGCTGCTTCCTTCACATCCCATACCAGGGACGTGCCCTCAACCAAGGTACATGCCCTTGACCGGAATCGAACCTGGACCTTTCGGTCTGCAGACCGACGCTCTATCCACTGGGCCAAACGGTTCTGGAAGAGGAAGGATTCTTTTTTTTTCTTTTTTTTTTTTTTCCCCAGCTGAGGATTTATTGGCATAAATGTAACCATATAAAAACATAAGTTATGAAAAACAGTCACAAGGTGCCCTCCCCCACCCACCCATCCTGGGCCCAGGGAGAGGGAGGGAGAGAAACATCAATGATGAGAGAATCATTGATTGGCTGCTACCTTCACGCCCCCTACTGGGGATCGAGCCCACAACCCAGGCCTGTGCCCTCGGCCAGAATCGAACCTGGGACCCTTCAGTCTGCAGGCTGACGCTCTATCCACTGAGCCCAATCAGCTAGGGCTACACTCACTTTTTAATCCCTAGACCCTTACCAGGACGGCGAGGAGACAGGAGAACAGGGCTTTTGTCTGGCACTGCACATCCCACGGGGCCTTCCCAGGGGGAGGGGGTCTGTGAAAGGGGAGAGGGACCCTCCACGCGTCCCCTGAGCCAGGCTGATACCAAAGTGCCACTTCTCTGGGCTCCTAAAGCATCAGCATGTTTTTGTTTGTTTTTGTTTTTGTTTTTTATAATGTTCAGCGTTTTACTAACCTTCTCCCCACGCTCAGTTTCAAAGCAGAGACCCTTACGCAGGCGAAGATCCTGCACGTGGGAAACTGGCCTTCCTTCCTTCAGAGGGTCCACATCGGAGACACCTCAACCGCCCACGCCGGTCAGGGATGTGGCTGAGGAACGAGAAGGGGCGCCGGCCGGCGTGGTCAGGGCTGAGCACCGACCTCTGAACCAGGTCACCTTCAATTCCCGGTCAGGGCACTTGCCCTGTTTGGGGGTAGGGCATGCAGGAGGCAGCCGACCCATGGTGCTCTCTCATCATGGTTTCTCTCCTCTCTCTCTCTCCCTCTCTCTCTCTCTCTCTCTCCCCCTTCCTCTCTGAAATCAATACAAATATAGTTTACAAAAAGACAAAGAAAGAAAAAAAAAAAGAAAGAAAGAAAGAAAGAAAGGAAGAAAGAAAGGAAGAAAGGAAGAAAGAAAGGAAAGGAAAGGAAAGGAAAGGAAAGGAAAGGAAAGGAAAGGAAAGGAAAGGAAAGGAAAGGAAAGGAAAGGAAAGGAAAGGAAAGGAAAGGAAAGGAAAGGAAAGGAAAGGAAAGGAAAGGAAAGGAAAGGAAAGGAAAGGATGAGGAGGGGCAGCCCTCCAGGTGTGGGCAGAATCCAGCCCTGGGCCTCACACACACACCAGGGTGCTGAGGGGGTTCCGTGCTGTTCCAGAACTCTGGCCCAGACACAGCCGAGGACCGGAGATGCCCAGTGGCCGAGGCTGAGGTGGGCGTGCCCACAGGACCCCGGAGGGAGGGCACCTGGCACACCGAGCAGCAGCTTCTGGAGACCCTGAAGCCGCGGGCAGGCTCCTTCCGGGGCTGGTAGGCTCGCCCCTCTCGCCCTCTCGCCCTCTCGCCCCTCTCGCCCTCCCGCTTCAGACTTCCGTTGGTGTGTGTGTGTGAGTCTGTGTGTGGGTGTGTGAGTGTGTGTGTGTGTGTGTGTGTGTGAGTGTGTGTGTGTGTGTGTGTGTGTGGGTGTGTGTGAGTGTGTGTGTGTGCGTGTGTGTGAGTGTGTGTGTGTGTGTGAGTGCGTGTGTGAGTGTGTGTGTGTGAGTGTGAGTGTGTGTGTGAGTGTGTGTGAGTGTGTGTGTGTGAGTGTGTGTGTGTGTGTGAGTGTGAGTGTGTGTGTGTGTGTGTGGGTGTGTGTGAGTGTATGTGAGTGTGTGTGTGAGTGTGTGTGTGTGAGTGTGTGTGAGTGTGTGTGAGTGTGTGTGGGTGTGGGTGTGAGAGTGTTTGTGAGTGTGTGTGTGTGAGTGTGAGTGTGTGAGTGTGTGTGTGAGCGTGTGTGTGTGAGTGTGTGTGAGTCTGTGTGTGTGAGTGTGTGTGAGTGTGTGTGTGTGTGTGGGTGGGTGTGAGTGTGTGTGTGAGTGTGAGTGTGTGTGTGTGAGTGTGTGAGTGTGTGTGTGTGTGTGAGTGTGTGTGAGTGTGTGTGTATGAGTGTGTGTGAGTGTGTGTGTGTGAGAGTGTGGGTGTGTGTGAGTGTGTGTGTGTGTGTGAGTGTGGGTGTGGGTATGTGAGTGTGAGTGTGTGTGTGAGTGTGTGTGTGAGTCTGTGTGTTTGTGAGTGTGAGTGTGTGTGTGACTGTGTGTGAGTGTGTGTGTGGGTGTGGGTGTGAGTGTGACGGGAAGCCAGGACTGGCTGGCACAGCACTCAGAAGTCTGAACAGGGAGCACAGCTGAGGGGCAGCTGCCGTACCCCTGAGTCAGGAGCCCCTCCTAGACGGCGGCACAGGTTCTGCCATGAGCGCTGCCTCCGGGAGG